CTCGTGTTGTTTGCAGCCTGTGCACCATGCTGTCTCTGCAGTGGGAGCCGGAGATCATCGCGGTCGCTGTCATGTACCTGGCTGGCCGCCTGTGCAAATTCGACATCCAGGAATGGACCAACAAGCAGTCTACACGCCGCTGGTGGGAGCAGTTTGTCCAGGACGTTCCAGTGGAGCTACTTGAAGGTACTCAGCATAAAGGCGTTCCACTTAAAGCCTCTTCCTTTGTTTTTTTTGTTTTTTTTTGTCTTTACCAAAAAAAACATGTCTTTGCCTTCCAGACATTTGCCACCAGATCCTGGACCTGTACTCTCAGGGAAACAAACCCATCCCTCAGCAGATGCAGGAGAAGGAGAGGGCACCTGCTGCTCCGATCTCTGCTCCTCCAGCTCCACAGGGACAACCGCCAGCCGCTAACCCTCCTCCCCCACCACCAAAAAAGACTTCCCCTCAGGGTGGTAGCCCGTCACGCCAGCTTAAACGCTCACATGTAAGTATACATTCAGCCTGTGCTGTACAACTCGTGTTTAACATGATTCATGCACGGGGCTCATAATTTATTTCCTCTGTGTTACAGACGTCCCCCAAAGATGAACCAAAGGCTCCAGGTAACATGTTTATTAATGATTAGGCAGATTTTAAAGCTGTTAAAATCTGATGAAATTAAACTGAAATGTCTCCAAGAAAGCAACAAATTAATGTCAACGAAGAGCAGTTTAGAGAAAGATGAAAGACGGCAGTTAGATTTTCCTGGCAGGGTTGAGGTTTTTATCATTATCCAGGAGCACAGAAGCATTTGCTTACGCCGTTACAGTTTTGTTTTGTCTTAAAAAGCTTCTATTTAATTCACAGAACAAGTTGGATCAAAGATTCCTCGACTGGAGAGCCCCATGCCTCCACTACCCACAACGCAGCCTCCCCCAGGTAAGCGTGACTCTGTAGCTTACGTCATCTGCATTCTTTACACTGTCCAAGAAGTTCAAATGATTTAGAGCTGGATCAAAATATCGTTACGTGCTGGCGTCCTCTTAATACTCTGTTTGCGTGCGCCACCACAGCAACCAATAATGAGCAGCCAGGACCCCCTGCCTGCAGCTCGAGCTTAGAAGCAGCCCACAGTCGTTAGTCCTTTCAGTCTGCTTACGTAACCACATCTCGTCTGGACATTATTTCCCAAGACACGCATACCCCTAACCTATCCCAGACCAATCTGATTAGTGCTTGAGCCTCATAATGAGACCTCCTATGTGGCTAAGCCTGGTAGCTTTGGTCTGCCCGTGTGCTCACTGTCTGAGAGCTTCATTTTAGATCTTTGCAGTAGGGAAGCTGATTTTTATTAACAAGTCGTTTCTCTTTACTTTGTCCTTTCACTCCAGCTCCTCCCGCAGAAGCAGAACCAGGAAATGAAACAGCTCCTCCTCCCCCACAGGCTCCACCTCCACACCAGCCTCCTCCGCTGCCCCACCGCCCTCCTCCTCCACCACCTTCCAACTACTTGATGTCCACAACGAGCTCTTATATGTCTGGTGAAGGCTACCAGAGCCTACAGTCCATGATGAAGACTGAGGGTCCCTCCTACTCCATGCCGCCCAGCTACGCACCCCCAATGTATCACGTCTATCCACCACCTTCAGCACCTCCTCCTGGGCCACCACCTCCTCCCTCCACATACCCACCACCCAGCTTGCCACCATCCTATCCACCACCGGTCTACAACAACTACCCCCCGCCACCGCCTCCACGCATGCCACCAGGCCACGTGCCTCCACCAGGGATGGCCCTTCCACCCACTGGGTACCCTCCTCCACCTCCAGTGCCTCCAGGACAGTCACAGGTGCCCTTGCCCCCTCCGCCTGGTATGCCTATGAACCGTGGCGCATGGATGAGATGAGAACGTGATAAGTCTGTGAACTGAGCTTGTGCAGAGCCACAACTGGGGCGAATAAAAACAACCAGGATCTTGTTATCTTGGAGCAAAACAGGAAAAGCGGAGCTGCTTCATGACTTAACTTCTGATAGAGAGGTGCAGGGTTGTGAAAGAAAGCGTGTAGGTAAATGGACTTTAAAGATAAAGTGAGGTCTGGACAGTTTTGTTATGGGAGGTGATAGGAAGGTTAACAAATTAGCAAATATGTAGAGGATAGGTACTCACAGTGCCCAGTTCCAGGAGCTTATGAGAAACACTGTCCAGTCATTGTTTTTATTAGTTTTTTTCTGGAAATTTATCAGGAAATAAGATTTTTTTTTTCTGTTGTCATACATGCACTCTCACTAATTGTGGGATGGTGAAATGTTCCAGTTTCATTCAGCCTTTGAGTGGATCTAAGGTTGGGTCTTGTGTTCCTTCCTTTATTCTGTCACCTTTATTGGTTTTCCTGAATACACCTCCCTTCACTTTGTGTTCTCTTCTCCACATTCTCATTGTTCTGCTGAGAGCAGTGTAATAAAATCTTAAGGTGGTTGAATATGCTGTGGGACTGTCGTATTGAAAGACTTGAACAGACACATGCTGTATATTTTTTGTGGTTTAAACAGCGTTTTTTCTTTTGTTTGTTTTTTACATTTTACTCTGATAACGCTGAGGTAGTGTTGCAAGACATTTCTGCTGCTTTCCCCCCCTCATGTCACCACCCATCTTCTCATCCGCTTCTGCACCCAGAGCAGCAAACATTAAAACAATAATTTCCTGATTCACTGTCACTGGTCTAAGAAGCCCAATAAAGAAGAAAAGAAAAACTGACTTCAGCTGTTCTTTATCTGGGTTTTGCTTTGGTTCTATTTTTTTTTTAAATGGTACTTTTTATGGCCGTAAGTTTAAAAGAGTCAAAAGTTCACCAAAGAAAGCAGAGCGAAGTACTTCCTCTGGGTTAGGTACCTCTGAGTGACTGTGGGAACACACACACGCAGAACACTAATAGTTAAAAGGATGAAAAACTGCTTTTTGGAAGAGCGGAAGGTTACAGCCTGGGCAGGTCATCAGTAAACACAGTGACAACTTTCCTACATCCGCACATAAAAACAACTATAAAAATAAAAAATAGCATCTTTTGAGTGAATCTAAGTACTCTGAGAAAAGAGACACAGGATGAACAAGCAAAACCTGGGTGTGAGGCCACAGTGCTAACCGCTGCACCACCAGCTTACTTTTAAGCACCTTTTATGTCCTTGCACTGCAGGAAACACACACAGATCAACCACAACTAACACTGGAAAGTTTGCAAGTGTAGATTTCAGTTTTTTTGAGCACTTCTGTATAAAACTGCCTTAGACTACTCTGTGCTTTGGTTTAGGTGTAAGAAAAGTTCTCGTCACCTGCTCTTCATAGCTGAAAATGGGGTCTGTGTGAAGAGAGAAGGTGTTGCTTCTTAGATTTCTCCCACCCTTTACACACCAGCTCATGTTCCTCCTTATCTCCACCAGTCAAATGTTTATGAACAGAGGCCAGGATACAGACAGATGAGCAGATACCTTTTCCACTAATCGGTTTTAGCAGTGAAAATGATACTCCCCCACTTCTTCAGTCCACCCATTCAACTGCTTATTGACGCAAATATCTAATCAATCGCATAGCAGCAACCCAGCGCAT